GGACTCGGAAGCACCAGGTGACGTGGGCCAGGAGCGCTCCAGCACCTCGGATGAAAGGTCGGTGTTATGGTTCTACGTCCCAGCACCTGGGCCATTTCAGCACCCTAGGGGGACTTCTAGTCTCTTAGCTTTCACCTACTCCCCGTTCTTGGTTCAGGGAGGAGATGCAGACATCATTTCCCATGTCTGATAGCCATCTGCTCCCTCTCTCAGGTTCTCAATAGCATGCTCTTCTTAGCCTGATCAAGGCCTTCTGCACCAATTACAGATCAGAGTCCTGCCCACTATGATGATTAGCCTGAAATAGAGACTTATCAAGTTGTCAGTACAGCTCCTGACAGCGAGCTTTCATGTACAATCTTATCTGGGCTTGGCAAAAATTATTGTAAAAGCATTAAATGAGGTATTAAGGCTATTAAAACGATTCCTCTGAAAGATTAAAAGAAATACAAGAATTTAGGTATTTTCAATAGTTATTGATCGTGATGAGTATCTTAATACTTTTATTTGATTTTTTTCAACACAGTTAACACACCAGAAATTCAGTCTCATCACAACATCTTCAAAGTCTAAAAGTGGACAAAAGTGGAGTTAAACTCGAGTGTGCTCCTACCTGAAAACCCTAAATCCGCCCATGGGAAAACTGGGAGGACGCAAGGCATATCAGAGCGCGGGTACGCGCATGCGCGCTCCTGGTGAACCGTGTGGAAGTTTCCCTGTAAGTTGAGAAAGACAAGAGGACAGCAGCGAGTGGAGCGGCGCACGTCACCGGGATAAAGAAGATACAGCAAAGAAAAACCTCGGATGGGAGCGCACTTTTATTAACGTCTCCTAATGAATTAACCCGCAAGCTCTCGTTGGTGTTTGTGCGGGTACCTCACTGGAGAAGTGGAGTCGTTAACTGTAGGTAAGTTAAATAACTTGATTGGGGTGTCGCGAATCAACTCCTACAATGTTTTGGCAACTTATAATTGAGGCATAATTTGTTAGTTAAAGCTCAACTTTCACAGGACAAAGAACAAAGAACAAAGTCTGTCACCTTAAACCAAATGTCATCATTTTAAAAAAAGAAGTTTTCTTTAATCTCCTGAAAAAGTTATTATAACTAACCTTAATTGTGTTGTTTTTATGTGCTTGAAAGCTCACCCTCCCCATACTTTTCATGCTTCCCACGAGTTCTTGAGTAACAACATTTTACTGGAAATTATTTGTCGCTTGTCAAGATACAGATCGCATGAAATGATGGAGGGCGGTATTTCTTTCTTCTTTTTTTCTTTTTTTCTTTTCTCTGTGCAGCGCGCTCCTGCGGCGCTCGGTGGTACAGCTTGGCGATCAAGCGCATCCCTGCAACAGTTGTGCCAAAAGTTGTGATTCATATTAGGAGCGCGAGGGAGGATGTGTTTTCAGCCAAGCGCAAAGCCATGTCATGATTAAAGACTTTCCCCTTAAACCAGACACCTGAAACCTCTGAGTCATTCCTAATTGCATTACTAATCCCGTTTAAAACTTGCTGCAGCAAGTGTGTGCAACCAGCTTTCAGATGTTAACCTCCCTTTCCTAACGAGAGGTAGAATATTTAAAGTCATGATTTCAAGAAGTTGCAGAACCCCTCTATTTCCCAGCTTTGTGGTTAACCCTGTATCTCACCTTGCCTGTGGTATCTCCATATATTCTAATTAGAAGGAAGAGGGTGCACGGCGGAGGTGTGTGTGCATGCAGTGAGGTGAAACTGAACAGGATGAGACAAGCTGTTCAAACAGCCTAGAGAGGGGGGCTCATCTTGTTCAGGTAGTACTTTCCCCAAAACGCCTTGAACTTCCACAGAAAGTTGAACCAGGGGTTAAATTTTTAGCTCCAGCTACTTGTTAGATCAGTCAATCCGCTGGAGTCGTGCTAATGAAAGGAGAAGTAAGGCCAGGTGTCAGACAAGCCCAGGTGAGGTCACTGGCCTACCTCACTGGCTTGTTGTTGCAAAAACTGCGGGATAACACTGATATCCAGTCTCTTTCTGTGCTCCGTAATGTCTGAGACAATGATGATTTTTTTCTGTCTTGTTTCCTAGGCTGGAGCTATTGATTGACCTTTGAACTAGAGCTCGCTGGGAACTGGAAAAGATGTCACTGACTGACTAAGTAGAGACTTTGCACCCAGTGTCACCCCTCCCTCTAAATCCCAGACAGCCTCTATGCTCATCAACCTGACTGTGGCCATCAAGGAACCTCGTGCCTTTCATGGAACACAGTCTGCCCTTCCCGCTGCTGCCTCTGACGCTGTGGAAGTGACAGCCATGGATTCGCGTCCTGTGCTGGTCGCCCCTGCGCCACCTCCACCTCCGCCACCTCCACCTCCACCTCCCTCTCCTCCACCCCACGGCCCCTCCCGCCTGAATTCATCCCGCTCCTCTTCTCCCCCCTTCGCGTTTTGCCGGACAGACAGTGCCCCGTCGGAGACGGCCCTGAGGAAGCTTAACTGGGAGCGCATCCCCAAAGAGAAGGTGGAGGGGGGAGGAGAGTGTTGTGAGCGGGGCAGCTCCAGGCAGCGAGTTCCCATAGACCTCCATTCATCTGGATGAGCTGTTTGGTCAGAAGGACAGTAAGCACTCAGACACGAACCAGCACTCTGAGAACGCAGGTCTGATCTCGCTGCAGATCCCCCCAGGAGCAAGCTCGGAGAGGGTCCAGAGTCATGCCAGAATGGCGTGATATTTTCAGTTATATATAAAATGGTGATCTCTCTTGCACTTTTCTTGCCCCCTTATTTTGTCTTGTTTGCCTCCGTTACAGTCTCCCCTGTGACTCCAAACGCAGTATGAACTTGAATATTTCACGGCCCCCCCCCCCCCAAAGTTTCAGATGTACAAGCTTCTTTATTACTACTAGAGCTGAAACAATAGGTCTGTTGATCAACAGATACCGATTAGCAAACAATCTTTTGTGATTGATTGTTTTCAGTTATTCCAACTTCTTCCAATGTTAGAGAAATGTGTATAATGCTGAATGTTGAGCTAGAGCAAAACCAAGAGATTTGAAGTTCATCAATCGGGGGTGTTGAGACATTGTTATGGACATTTTCTTTAAATTATTTGACATTTCATAGACTAACAATTAATTAATAAATTAATTAATGAAGATCGGTAAATTGCAGGACTAATCAAATGGAAATAGAATCCCGGTAAGTTAGCGCCGCTATTCTTAAGAGTCTGTAAGCATCTCGAACAGTTTCTGCTTTCAGTCTTCTTGTCTACTACTTGCTGGAGTCGCATCCAGTTCAAACTGAAAGTTGTTTTAAGAGCGGAAACAGAAGTGTGTGCAACTGTGCCCAGGGGAACAGCTACTTCACCTTGAAGTTGAACTGTGGAGTGTTTGGCCATATATGTCAAATAAGTGGCTGGGTGTTGTGTGCAGTTTGTACGCAGAAGTGTGAAGCTCATCAGGAGTGAAGATGTATTCGGTGGGAAGGGGGAGAAAAGTATATTTGCAGGGGAAAGGTGTAGGTGGAGGTGGCCCTGAGCGCTGGGTTTGGGGGGGGGGTCCTTGAGGGAGAGTGGCCGGTTATTGAGCTTTGGAGTCAGAGTTGAACACCTGCGATGCTCTTAATAGGACCTGTCTAATTGTCAAGCACCCCCTACTGGAGAGAAACCCCACTTGGGTTGTCATATTCATCCATCCCCGTAAAGCCTGTTGTCCCTGGTCAAACAAGTGCACTTCTTGTGATGAATAGTACTGTTTATCATCATTAAGAACGCTTACATTCAGTTTAATGTCTAAAACATTCGGATGACATTTGTGGTGAAGAAATTACGCACGTAGCCATTTGCAGGTAAAAAATTGAACCAAAGACATGGGAGAAAGTGCTGAGTGTCATTGTCATGCCCCCAAACGTGCTGTGTTGAAAACGTTCACCGGAGACTCAATGTGCGCTTAACGTGAAGAGCGGTTCTTTTCCTTTAAACTAATTGCAAGGACTTGTAAGTAGGGGAGCTTAAGTGAAAACGCTAATTGAGTACACAAACATTTTGTTTTGTTGGCGCAGCTTATTTCCCTCTGTTCTAACAAAGACAGGACCTCTGGTTGAAATGGGGTGTGTTAAACAAAAGGGTTTTGTTTTGTCAGCATGAGTGTCTGGTGTATCAGATCATAGCTCTCTATTATGTGACTGTTTCTATTATAGGCTATTTCACCAGCATATTTGTTTCAGTAGAAAACTGTTTTGGGCAAAGCCACCACATGTAGAACTGTTTAAACGTGTTCTCGTTTTGAAGTTGAGTATAATAAATGATCAATCTCTACGTCTACCGTAGATGTTTTCATAGAAGACCCTGAACGTGTGTGTCAGTCAATTAAGAATGGAGTGGAATGTTGAATGAGGAGAAGTTGTTAGGTGAATTAAAAGGCAAACACACACGTAGCATCACTAATGGGTATGACGTGTGTGATGGGCTGTAAGATGAGGGGGAGGAAGATAATGAGAAAACTGCTGAATAGAGCGATGTGTCACTCAGAGGAGTAAGTCAGAGGTCAAACATTCAGTCAGTTCAGTTTGCTGCTTTCACCTGACATCCAAGGCTCTCAGGATTCCCTGCCACGTCCCTGCTTATTTTCCCAGTGATAGCCATTTAGTGTTGCGTGTGGCGTCAATCACCCTCTCACTCATGCATCTGGACTGATAAAGCTGGGATATAGCCGAAATACTTTGTGACAAGCACAAAAGAGTGATACTGTCTAACGGGATTTCTCAGTTTGCACCCTGTGTTGCATGTTAACATGGTGTCTTACAACTGTTATTTTCCGCAGGCTGCTAAGAATGTTGAAGATTTCAGCTTGTGGCGGGGACCGTTACGAGCAGAGGCACTCGACTCTGCAAATTGCTGCCCGACAAGAGAGGTAAAGGAGCCTTTTTTTGTGTAGATCCAACTAGCAGCCCCCCCCCCCTTTCCCTCCGCTCTTCTCTTACTCATCATCTGGCTCTGGTTAGGATGATCAAAAGTTTGCCATTACACCATGTCGTGTGATGTGGTCAGTTTCCAGAGAAGGGCAGCGTTGAAAGATATTGGAATTGACTGTTAACTGCATGTTGTGTTTTAGTATTCCAGATTTTAAAAAAGTCTGTTCTCTCTCAGGAGTCTCGCCTGAAGAGGTTCAGTGGGGAGCGGAGCTGGCTAGGAGAGCCTGATCTTTTCATCCTGCTGTTGGTGGAAGTCCCCAGGTACGGCCTCAGCCCTAGATTAGATACAATTACCAAAAATACCCCCTGTACTTTCCTACTGATTGTTTTTTAAGCATTTTAAAAAGGCTTTTCTTCCTGTTTATTTGTATCTGACACTGGTCATGCTCACATGCTTCACTATGTGTTGACGTGTGTTTGTTTAACTGATGATTGATCTGTCAGGAGTGCCTTTTTGTCTCCGTCATCACTTACCCCTGTCCATCTATCCATCCGTCTCTCTTCCATTAGTTTTCGGCTTCGTCTGGATGCCATGATTCTACAACAAGAGTTCGACCCTGCTGTGACCTCTCTGTGTGTGGCAGCCAGATGTCTGAGGGAGGCGGCCAGAGGTAACGTTAACAGCAGGGAGTCGTGTGCCCAACCACTATAAAGATCCTGTTCTGTGTTGGCCCTTTGAAAGGCTCCTGTTACGAATGAGAAGTTTGGACCCAGAATGCATTCTTGTGACTTACTGATAGAGGAGAAACGTGGTATCAGTTATATTAAGTTTAGTTTGCCAGTAAACTTGAGTGTCAGTTCTTCAAAACAAAGTTGCTGACTCATTTTAAGGCCTTGATGTTAGCTTGATACACATTCATACTCATTATTCCTCAACCTTGAGGCTGAATATTGAATCTCTGTCTTTGACTCTCCTAGAACTGCTGAGCTGTCCTGAATTACACTCCATCCTTCGTTTGGTGCTGAAAGCAGGAAACTATATGAATGCTGTGAGTGCTTCTTTATTTTATTTTCTTTTCTTCAGCCTGACAAAGCAGAATCAGTCCTTTTATCTGCGCATAATACACCAGTAGCTATGGGGTCTGGGTGTGTGTTCAGGGGCGTCACTCTGACTGTGCACCTGGGTTTTGTATCATTATTTGTTTAAAGTTGTCACATGTTGTGCGTGTATGTGTTATTTTGACCTTGTATGTGGCTTCTCAGGGTGGGTATGCAGGCAATGCCGCCGGTTTCCGGATTTCATCGCTGCTCAAACTGGCTGACACCAAAGCCAACAAGCCGGGAATGAATTTGCTGCATTTTGTAGCTATGGTAAGATGTGAAATGTATGTGTAGTAAGACAGTATCCCGTAATACAGGTACAATAACAGGTGCTGAAGTAAATCACAGGAATAGCATGACAACAGAATGAGATGAAGTACATCTCCTTATTTAAACAGCTGTTTATGTGCCAGCCAACTCATTTTTTTAAAGTTCATAAAGACTTTTCTTTTTGAAGTGGACATGCATTGTGTCTAAAGGTATTTGTGGAAAGCTAGACTAATACAGTAAAAAGTGTTAATATTGTTGATTGAAAAAAAAATTTCTGGAAATACTTTTAGTGCCGTTTTTGCAACAATGGGTGCATATAAAACATAATTTAGGAAAATAAATAAAAAAATGGCTGTTTTTGAAAATGATTTGAACTCCTCTGTCTTTTCTGACCACAAAGTTTTTAGAGAACAATATACTCTCATAACCCTCAAGCCAGACTGCTCCACAGAGCATATGATTTTGTCAACATTCACAAATGACGTGTTGCTTCTTTTGAAACAATAGCTGAATAATCATTTGTGTTTGTCTCCACAGGAAGCTGTGAAAAAAGACCAGAGTTTACTTTCATTTCCCGGCCAACTAGGCCATGTTGGGTCCGCCTCCAGGTCAGTCTCTTCCCAAAAACCCCATCAAATCCTACAGTGACTGTGTCTGAGGGAATATACAAGCCCTGTTTAATAACATTAATACACCCCACCAGGCTGCTAAAACAAATGTATTGAAAATCTATTGCATTCTTGTATCAGAACAAGGCGCCCAGCTGTTAGCAATAGCTCACTGCCTGATTGAAAGTGGGTCATGACAACATTTATACTCCAAGCCAATATTTAAGCTCTGCTGGAGAGTTTCGCTGCAAGGTGCCAAGGAATGCCCAGCCTAATTCTGCTTTCAAAAGTAAAGAATATCACTCATGCAATGCAATCTTTCTGGGCAAATAAATTGACAGAACTCAAGTCTAAAACTTCAGTCTATGTAAAATAAATGAATTCCAGGATATTTTAAGTCATTTGCATTCATTTGTTACCTATTTTTGGTTGTGACACCTTTCTCAAGAGATGTAACACAGTTTTTTCTACACAGTTCTTTTTATAATTGTATTATATGTCATCTCCTGCAGGTTGTCTGAGGAGTCTGTGCTGGAGGACTTATCCAAGTTAAAAAGCAGAGTGGTGGCCCTCAAGGCAAACATCCAGACTGAGGCAGAGATTCAACAGCATACGCAACCTTTCCTAGAGGTTTGAAACCTAGTCTGTAATATATAAAAACTTTATCTGATGGTTTACAACCTGCCAATCCCACATTTGTTTTTAGATAAGGTAATGAGAACTTGTTTCAAAGGATGACTGTGTAAACTGTGCCTGTGTGCAGGTGGCTGAGGAGCGTTTGAAGGAGGCGGAGGATGAGGTGGAGGGCATGAGGATGTCTAGCCAGGCTCTGGTGGAGTTCTTCTGTGAAGATGACAGCACCTTTAAACTAGAAGAGGCTTGCAGGGTCTTCAATTCGTTTTGCCACCGCTTCCAAAAAGCTGTTCAGGTTAGACTGAGAAATGAATTGAAATATCTGTTGATTAAGACAGACAATTCAGCACTAAGACTCACTAACAAATACATGATTCCTTTCCTTTTCTACAGGAGAATGCGGAGCGGGAGCTGAAGGAGCAGAAACGCCTGGAGCGTCAGCGTGAGATGGGGGAAAAGCGGCGCTCTCTAGCTGTCTGTACGGGGCTGGACCTGGGCCTCAGCCTTGCCAGAGAGCCTCACAGACAGGAGAACCAAGATGAGCTAGAGAAACTGCTAGAGAAGAACTTGAGCTACACTTGGAACCGACGTAGCCTGAGAAGCTCCGAGTCCCGCAGACTTTCCCATCACCTCAACAATGACGGACATCTCCATAACTCATCGCTGTTCAAGAGCTTCCCTGAGCTGGGCAGCAGTCCGACATCAACCAGTTATCACTCTAACAGCTCATCTGACCATGAGACCGCGGCTGTGCTTTGTAGCTCCCCAGAGACAGACGGCACATGTTCCCCCATCGACCAAGATCCTGTTTTGGGTAGAGGGAGCAGGTCTCAGGACAGCCAAGCAATTAACCGGCGCATGGGCGCAGTTCAGGACTCGCACGTTGCTACATTTAGTCATTCTCAGCATGGACGTGGCTTCACAGTCAAGCAACACAGGCCTGAAAGCGTTTCTTATGTGCTGCAAGGCCGTCCGAAGGCAACAGGACTTGAAAAAGAAGCTGAGATTTCACATGAACACGTGGTTTCGATGACCACTGAATCTTCACCCAGTTCCTGTACAAACTCTGCTGCTGTACCCACTGATACAACTGCCCTTTGTGTAAAAAGCCAGACCTCCACTCATAGACGTAGGTTTGGCCTGGCAGTGACAGACAATACTCATTCTATTCAGAATAAATCTAGTGTCGCTTGTTTTGATGAGTCTGTACCTCTTCATACAAGTGGAATACTTTCACACAGTGACACCAGGGCTGGGTCCTTAAGGTACCAGAGATATGAGAGCCAATCACAATCAGCTGTAAATGCTCCGGAGAGGGTCCAGTCACAACCACAGGCGAGAGAGACGCCCACCACAACAACAACAACAACAAGTGCTGTGATGCCTGATGCAGGTTTAAAGCACACTAACCCTGAAGTAGCAACCACACCTGTGAAGGAGAACTGGATGACCTCCAGTCTACCCGAGTTCAGCAAATCACAGCCAGAGGAGTATTCTGATTTGCCAAGTCCTGAGAGGGAGACAGGAAGGTCATACTCCCGTGTGGGTGAAACACTGGAGTGCCACACTCTGGTGAAAGGCCTCCGATGCTATGATGCCTTGTCACCCCCAACCTCTCCACTCCCACGACCCGCACCGAGCCTCTGCTCCAAGTGGAGGAAAGAGAGAGAGGTTGACCTTCGAGAGGGGACAACTCCAGGGTCTCCTACATCAAAGGAGGAGGCTCGAACTATGAAGATCCCTGTGCGTAGTGGAATAGGGGGCAAAAGGGGACTTATGTCACGCACAGGACCTTCTAATAGCACAGGCATTCCCAGGGTGCGCTCCAAAACTGAGCCTTCAAATGGAGGTCCAGCCCCTACTAACCCACCCACTCCCACCCGGCTGTCCACTCCTCGCAGCATTTCCATGCGTTCGTCTCCTGTCTCACGGACTGCCATCAGTCAGACAGAGGTGAAACGCAGTAATAGCACACGTGAGAGGACTATAAGTGAGACACAGACCCCAGGAAAACCCACCTTGACCCGCAGGACCTCAGACAGATCCTTACCAGAGAAGGTCTCAGGCAGCACCCAGACAGCTTTCATCAGAGGATCTCCTCTCCGTGTGTCGAAACGACTCGCCCCTAACTCTGAGACTCAGGTGCCCTCCCAGCCTCGCACTGCCCACAGCCCGTCCTCCGCCACGGCCAAGACCATACGCACGGCTGTCATATCTGCTGCCCGAAATAAAACTGCCAAGACAACAAGCACAAGCACCTCTCCTGCTGGCTCTAAAATCCCCACAGCTTCACGGATACCTGGTCCCAAAATGGCTCGAGCCACAGCAGCAGCTCAACCACTGTGGAAGTGATGGAAGTGAATAAGTCCTTGTACTGTGCAGTCTTTTCATGCCTTTTCAGTAATATATACAGTGTGGGTATTCATGAAGAGTGTCATCAGTCAGATTTCTCGACTTAATCAGCTGTAGGTCGTCTACATTCAACTTTTATGAAATTCATATATGTAGTTCTTAGTGCTTAGGTTCTACATATGTGAGCTTCACTGGGAGCATTGGGGACTGTATCTCACGTGCGTAGCCCGATAGTTGAATAGTAGATCCTCCAAATCCTACCTCTTCTTACACTCATTCATGTCCTTTGCAGGCAATAGGACACCACAAGAAGACCCAAGTAACTTTTGTAGGAAAGGTTAATTCACGACAGTAAGTCCCAACCAAGTGACATTACTCTGTGCCTAGTCTGTACAAGTGTGCTTTGAAAGAATTTGAAATTCCGGACACAGTTTCAATCTGTCTTACATGGGGGAAAAAATATTTTTTGTTTGTTTTAGGAAATCTTCCAAATGTTTTGAATACTGTGTCCCTTCCGCTAAGTGATCATTGTGTTCTCACACTTGGCGGTCTTACAGTCCAAACTGAACTTGGTACAATATTGAACTGTTAATCCTCTTGTTGAGAGGCCTCATCGATGCACTTTACAAACTGAAGAAGAGGCCGAATGGAGATGATTGCTGTCATGTTTATTTTATGTCAAAAGATTCTATAACTTTATTGAATAGCATTGGTTGTTATTCACTGTATTATGTGGATTTATAAATAAGAGGAGACGAATAAAGACGGTGATCTGAATATTAGTGTGTGTGTATGTGTGTGTCTGAGAAAGGTGCTCATCAGTTGAATTAAAAAGTGTGTTGTTGGTATATGTTCACATCTGTTTTTCAGTTTTGTATTCAGGCGAGCACTTTCACTTTCAAGGTCCCCACTCTTCCTCTTGAGCTGCTGCTCTTGCATCTTGCTGTCCTCTCTCTTCTTGTCACCCTTATTTTTCTCCCTCCCTCTCATCTGAACTCCCTCTTGCTGCATCTCTTGACACAGTCACCCCCATCTCTGTCAGTGGCTGTTGTCATGGAAATGCTACAGACGTCCCGGGGAATCTCCTGGCAGAATAGCGGGGTGCAAGGGTTGGGGTGGAGGGTGACTGTGGGTGTAGGGTCCCAGTGGGAATTCTCTCTTTATAGGCCGCAGTGACGCCAGAACCTCTTGGGAAAGGCAATAAACCGGTGCCTCTTTGTGTTCTTGAGTGTCCGGTTGTCGGTCAGCACTGGCCTCTTAACCTGCCTCAGTGTATAGAGGTGACATCATCAACGGGTCTCCAGGGGTGCAGGACAGAGTAGTCTAAAGTGGTCCCTCTTTTAGCTGCCTTCGTGTATTCTGCATTGACCTGAAAGCGCTGGCTGAGTGAGAATAATGACTTGTTTGAAGGTGAATAAGTGATATATGGGCTTTAATACCAGTGCTGACCAAAGAGAGGATGAAGTCCAAAAGACAGGGGACAGGATTGTTTTACGGCCTGTTTGTATGTGAGGTATGTATGTATACACGGTGACACTGGCATTTAATGGTGAGAATGTAGCAAGTTCAAGAGAAAGGCTAAAGTCATAGCAGAAAGCCACACATTCAGACTCAAGTGTTAACAGACTGGTGAAATCCAGGAACAGCCTCCCTCACTTGCAGTGAGACTGAATGGATTTAAAGTGTTAGTAAGATTTAGGGACACCTTTTTCAGCAGTTGGCACTTTTGAGAGACAGATTATACAGTCTATGGTTTTTACAAGTTGTATTCTATTTCTAAGGGCTAATAATTGTGATCAAGGAGTCACATTCATGGTTTGTTGCAGGTCAAATATAATGCCAAACATTCATACATCTGTAATGCAGTTAAATATGACTTTGGTGAGGGGAAATGATTAGAGAGTTTTTCTGTGTAGGTAGGAGCAGTGGTGGAAAATAAATGTATTCAAATAGACTACTCCTATAGTTTGGGATACATATACTTTAGCTGAGTATTTCCATGTCCTGCTACATAATACTAACAATACTAATACCTCAGTATTACTTCAATATCATATAGCCTATTGTACTATTTACCAGCCATTTATTTTACATGTGTAGATTTGTAGATTAAGATTTTACAATTCACTTTTTATTGCTTTACAACAGTGCAACAAAAGGACCAACATACATGAACTTGAACAATGACAAGAACAATACAAAACAACATAATTCCTCGATTAAGATTTTACATACAAAATATAAGATCATATAAAATAGTATAAAGCAAATAAAACTTTGACCAGCTACACCATAAACAGAAATGCTATTTACACTTTAATGCAACAGTAAATCCAAAAATAACACACTGAAATGCCTACTTTCACTTTTGTTTCTAGTTAGATGTTGCAATATACTTCTGTACTATTATGAATACAGGACTTGTAATAAAGTATTTCTTATTGCTACTTTTATTCAAACAAAACACAACTGGGCAGAAATCACTATTCAAGTTATCGGACACATTATAAAACCTATTTATCCAAGCACAACTTTCTGTCATCACACTTCACAGCTACAGCTAAATAGGAAAGCACGGCGGTGTAACAGCGCCATCTAGTGTCTCACAAACGACAGCCACAAAACGAAACTACAACTCCCAGCGTGCATTGCTTCCGCGTGTCGACTTTTACGTAATGGACAGCTCCCCGGATGCGGCTGTGATTGACTATACCAGGCAAAAAGAGATCGAAAGCCGAGTGGCGGTAAGTCACAAAATCCTTCACATTTCACCGTTACAGCAGACTACCGCCTGTGAGACATATACTAGAACATCGTAGAATTTTTTTAGAGCAACTTGTGGGAGGTCATGAGCCGGGAACAGAGCTTTCTCGAGAAGTGGCTCGCAAATAAAGTCTCAACTTGTTTGCTAACCAGCTAGCCTGTTAGCCACCAAAATGCGCTAGTTCCTTAGCTTGATGCTAGCCACCGGGGGAACGCCTAGTATCATAAATGAACAGTGCGAAATAACAAACGCCAAGGTAGGACACGTTACTGCTGCGCTTTCGGTTCACTCGTTGCCCCTTTTGTTGAAGGGAGTGGGGCGGTGAACTTTCCAGATGTTGTTAATTAGCGGACGACTTTAAATTGCGTCGATGAGCTAAAGTTGGCGGCTGTTAGCTCTCCTGCTAACGTGAAGTAGGTAAAAAAAAAAAACAGTATTAAAGTAAAAAAACAATAACTGACTCGTGTTTTTACCCTTTTGGTAGTTAAAGTTAAATAATAACCTCTTTTTACTGACTCTGGACATTTGACATTAGCTCCTCAGATGATGAGACACAATCAGAAGTTACCCAGCTGCCTTGTTGTTCTTTCTCCTCCTGCTGTCAGGTGCTGCAGACCCAGTGGTCGTAGGCAGGATGCAGACCATAAAGTGTGTGGTGGTGGGTGACGGGGCCGTGGGGAAAACGTGCCTGCTCATCTCCTATACCACCAATGCCTTCCCCGAAGAATACATTCCCACCGTGTTCGACAACTACAGTGCTCAGATGAGCGTAGACGGCCGCACTGTCAGCCTCAACCTGTGGGACACGGCCGGCCAGGAGGAGTACGACCGCCTGCGCACTCTCTCCTACCCCCAGACCAACGTGTTCATCATCTGCTTTTCCATCGGCAGCCCCTCCTCCCACGCCAATGTGAGGCACAAGTGGCACCCCGAGGTGTCTCACCACTGCCCCAACGTGCCCATCCTGCTGGTGGGCACCAAGAGGGACCTGAGGGGCGATGCAGAAACAGTGAAGAAGCTGAAGGAGCAGGGCCTGGCCCCTACCACCCAGCAGCAGGGCAACGCCCTCGCCAAGCAGATTGGGGCTGTTAAATACATGGAGTGTTCTGCTCTGCTGCAGGACGGCGTCAGGGAGGTGTTCGCCGAAGCTGTGAGGGCCGTGTTGTATCCAGTAACGAAAAAGAATCCGAAGAAGTGTGTGCTGTTGTAATAAATGGTTCCCAGATTTGGACTGTGGAGAGGGATGATGGAGATCCACAGATGCAAAGGAAGGCTGAGGAACGAAGGTCGTCACCCGGCTGCGTCCAGACCACCTCCAGCAGTTTAGACTTTGTTTTCAGCACCTCTGTTACTCCTCTCTTCCTTATTCATCTCCTGGAGGATTTCACTCCGTTGCCATCATCACCAAAGTGACTAAAATGCCAAAATGGGGGCAACTGACCGTATCTCCTCTATTTTTCTTACATTTTAACTTTTGATATTTACACCTTTTCCAATTTTACATCTGTTCTAGATTTATAGCTTCTCTGCTTTGCCTTTTTAAAATGCTGATCATGGTTGTCAGAAGCCATAACAACATCCAAACCAACCAACCAACCAAGCTACCCTGTTTGACTGGAGAGACGAGATCTGCCTTCGTTCAGGTGGAGAAATAATGACTACCTCATGCTCTCACCTAGGTCGCATCTCATGAGTTTCAAGCAGCGTCACCATCAAGATGCTTTGACTTGCCAATTAACATGTAATAAACAGCCAAGTAGAGGGTGAACAAGTTTTTAATTTCAAGCAGCTTGAGTCCAGACAAGGTGTGATGACTCTCGGACAAATGCCAGTACCCCATAACCAATATGCACAGATTAGAGGTTAAACTCTCAAGCTGCAGTTCTCCTTGAGCCCAGTCTGGCATGTTAGAGCTGTCTGGCAGGCTGCCCTTCCAGCCTCTTGCACTGCTCTCTCACTGCCACGCATGGAAGAGCCAGTAGGCCTTTGAAGATAAGCCGGAACCATTAAAAGCAGTCGACCGTTTGCCCTCTTCAGCAATAGAGGAGCAGGTGTCATAAGGCCTCCGTCAAATTAACCCACACTGGTACAGGATACCTTCAGCTGACGTATCGGGAAGTCACGTTGTAGTACATCTCTCCCCTGTCTACGTCTTAACTCTTGAGGGGTCACACCGAGTGCCATTAAAACATGCCTAAGAATTACTTTTTGACGGGGTCGGGGGTCAAAGAGACTGTATTTTGTCTAATAACGGTGAATTTACTCTGTAAATGATTTTTTTTTCCTGAAATGTTTTTAACCGACGAGTGTGGTTATGGCCAAAGTTGAATATATTTTTTGTAATAGCTTATGTTTATTTGATCAGTAAGATGTTTGTGTGTAATAGTTAATACTCAGATTTGATAAACCAGAACACCATGATGCACCCTATGCCAATTACATTGTTGCCTTACATTTAAGGTCAGCACATTATGACCACTGCATAATTGATTCAGTATAATGATACCAGAATATGTTTAAACCGGCTTGTGCTAGGCTGTATACACTTATTTTCCTGTATTTTCTCGGATAGTCGAATATCATTTCATCTTCATCAGAAGCACTGTGTCATAGCTGCCTATAGTTAATACAACAAGTAATGACTGATTATCTTCATTATAGAAGGAGCTTTTTTGTTTGGTCCGGTGCCTTATCTAAACCAAAGACCATAGCAATGCTCCTTTGTCAAACCCAAATGTTCTCATTAAAGTGATGCAAGAGCCACAAGGCCTTTTTCTTTTTAAATGCAGGTCCAACCACCTCTTCATTTTTGTCATTTTTCACTAGCTTTCTGCCTTAGTTCCTGTCAGTAAACACACTCTTCTCGCAGCACCCTTTGTAAGACACAGGTGCTAAACTGACATCTTGCACGGCAAATCTGTTGCATTTGTAAAACGGAGCACAAGAAACGCAGTGCTCGTGGCCCACACCTCTTAACAGATTGTGGTTTACATCCCTGCA